GCTGGGGGATTGAACCGCGGTCCCTGTGCTTTGCTTAGACTTAGCTTGTTCTAAGTAGGTGCTGTAGACCACTGAGCCATCTCACCAGCCCCTATGTATATATAAACGTATGAAAAATTTATTTTATTTGTAATTTAGGGAAGGGTATACAGAGTGTTTATGGTCTCACTACTAGATCGGACTCACAGTGATCCGCCTGTTTACAGCCTTGGAAGAGCTGGGATTACAGGCACATGCAGGTAAGACCAGTCTCAATTGCCCTCTCAGCGCACCCTGGGGATCAGGCCAACAAGGCAGGCCTAGGTATCCAACTCTGGACCCTGAGCATGCATGCATGTGCTTTAATCTGCTTAGCTATTTGGCCAGCCCTAAAAAATTTAATTGATAAATTATGCTAAGGTAGAGATTCATATTACTTAACACTGAAATGGTTATAACATATATAATTGGTGCCACGTGAATTCTTGTATTTCTCTGAATTTTGCCTCTGTTATTGTACACATCTTTCTTCTCAAGATGTGCCATCCCATAAGAGATGTCACATGATGGATCACAGTGACATGAGGTTTAATTGTGCTACTGAGATGGCACGTGATTGGAAATTTGTCAACCTTTATTTCTGAAATTTCACATATTATTAGACCCTGATAACTCACAGAATTAACACACAAATAAAGGCTATTACTATCTTAGCTGGTGGCACACACCACCCACTAGACCGATAGGGGCAAAGATTGTGCTCCCAAACCCAGGCAGCCCTGCATCTTAGTAGATGGTAGGTGAATCCGATGCTTCAGTTTTCATACAATGAATTCATATACTTGTGGTCATCATATTGTGCAGCACGTGGTGGATCTCCATTTTTCAGTTAATAATGTGGCCTCATAAAAACTGCTATGGATTCTGCTTCGTGGTACCACAAAAGTTATGTGGATTTTCTTTAGAAACAAAGAAAAGATGCTGAGCTCCTTATAGAGCTACATATTCAGGAACGCTGCTACATGTAGATGATGTACTTTCCTACTGGAGGCACTGTTTAACTTCTACTTTGTTAGGGCTGGCCAAAGAGCTCAGCAGATCAAATGCCTGCTTAGGCAGACATAGCAGCCGGGGTTCACCGGCCTGCCATGCTGTCCCCACCCTGATGGCACACTGAGACAAGGCAATTGAGACTGGGCTTGGTGAAACGCATCTGTAATTCCAGTTCTTAGGAGGCTAAACACGGCAGATCACTATGAGTCCAATCTACACTCATGTTTTTTTTTTTTTCTTAAATGAGCAGAATATATTTATTGAGAGAAAGCAAGCTCCTGTCCAAGAGAGGGACAGGAGGGGGGCCCGAGTGGGTAGTTCCCCCCTCTACACCAATTTTGATGGTAAGAAAACAATTTTATGTAAATGTAATACTGGCCCTAACATTAAAGAAAAATAGGCAAAATATGTACACGATATACTATGCAATAAGCAGGTATCTCGTCATATGAGAAGCATAACGTGTTAATCTTCAAGGTGTGTACAAATTACCTTTTCAAAATCACATTCACAAGTCTGAAAATGTCTTGAAATATGGTATCAAATGAAAATATCTGCTACATAGAATATAATAAATACAACTAGAATTTAAAACAAAGGCAGTAGCAAAATCCCAACAATTAACAAAAAGCAATTAAGAAAATTAAGCTCTAGGGGCCAGGGAGATGGCTCAGTAGAATAAGCGCTTGACTGGCAAACGCAAGGATCTGAGTTGAATCCCTGGTTCCACAAAAAAAAAAAAAAAAAGAAAGAAAAGAAAATTAAGCTCTTAAGTGGCCTATATTTTCCAATTGTAAAGACTAAAAAACAAACAAACAAACAAACACTGTACCTGAAAGTAACAGAAAAATTAATTCACTTTTTAACTGTACATAAGACATATATAAGTGATTTAATGAAAACCATATACCATGTATTTTGGGATATTTCTATCTGGGATGTTTTCTGGAGAAATACCCATATTAAGCTTTTTATATTAATTGTCCCTATAGTTTTCCACTACATGACAAATTTTCACAGGACTTTCAAAATGGCTTAAACATTGCTTTTTAATTTTTTTTTTTTTTTGCAACAAATATCTCCATCCAGATTCTGATAGCTGAGCTGACTGTGAAATGGAGCAGGCCTTGGGTGCACCCGATTCCTTCAGGGTGACAGCCCTCACCTCAGGAGGTAGATACAGCTGGCTTGCTGCACACTGGTAACATCATTTTAGAAGAGGCTTGAATATAAGCACTGGTTCTCTCCAGAGACTTCATTCATTTGACAATAGATTGGTGTAATTACTATGTAAGTTTTCTCCCCAGAGTTATTTGCCTTTGACAAGCTGTACGGATGCTAAACCTTTCCCACACAGATTTATAGAGAATTAAGGCCAATAGTTCTTTATGTTTTACAGAACATTCGCTAAAACCTTTCCCACATTGCTTAGCTTCTCTTGAGTTTCTTCATGTACTTGACAGTAACATTGTGTACTAAATGCTTTTCCATATGGCTTACACTAACCTTCTCCTCAGTGTGAGTTCTTTGAAGTATACTGCAATATCATTATGTAGTAAAACCTTTCCCACATTGCTTACATACGTAGGGTTTTTCCTCACTGTGAATTCTTTTATACTGAAACACCTTTTTGTAGTCAAAGCTTTCCCACATTGCTTACTTACATAGGGTTTCGCTCTACTTTGAGTTATTTCATATATATTACATTGACTGTGACTGCTGAAAGGTTTTCCATACTGCTGATATACATAGGGTTTCTCCACAGTATGAGCTCTTTCATGTATTTGACAAGTGCTATACATGCTGAAAGCTTTTGCACATTGCCTGCATACATAGGTTTACCACTGTTTTTTCGTGTAGACTGCAATACTTTCATGTACTAAATGCTTTTCCACACTACTGACAGTGTTCCCCCCAGTGTGAGTTCTTTCATGCATCTGACAAATACTATACATGCTGGAAGCTTTCCCACATTATTTACATAGGGTTTCTCCCCAGTTTGAGTTTATGTACATGACAACCTTGTTTACTAAAAGCTTTCCCAGATTGTTTACATACATAAGATTTCTTCCCAGTGTGAATTCGTCTTTGACAAGAACCTTGTGTACCAAAAGCTTTCCCACACTGCCTACATACATAATGATTTCCCCTTACTGTGCATTCCTTCATGTGCTTTACAGTAACTTTGTATACTAAAATCTTTCCCAGTTTATATTTATGATTTCACCTCACTGTGCATTCTTTCATGTGTATAATAATTTGTTGCAAAAAAGGTTTCTCACGTTGCTTACATACATAGGGTTTCTTTCCACTGTGAGCTCTTCCATGTATAATGTAATACATTTTTGTAGTAAAAGCTTTCCCACATTGCTTAGTGTTTCCCTCTCATGTGATTGCATTCATGTAGTTTAAATTCACGGTGCCTGCTGAAAGCATTCCACACTGCTTATATACATATGGTTTCTCCTCACCTTAAGTTCTATTATGGTTTTGACAAGAAATTTTTGTACTAAAAGCTTTCACACATTGCTTAATTATATAGTTTCTCCCTTCTGTGAGCTCTTTCATGTATGTTGCAAAACCCTTGTGTAGTAAAAGCTTTCCCACACTGCATACATAGGGTTTCTCCCCACTGTGAGCTTTCATGTATTTTGCAATACCCTTTTGTAGTAAAGGCTTTCCCACATTGCTTACATATGTTTTTTTTTCCACTGTGAATTCTTTCATGTCTTTTACAGTGACTGTGCCTTCTGAGTTCTGCCACATTGCTTACATAGATAGGGTTTCTACCCAGTGTGAATTCTTTCATGAACACGACAGTAATTTTGTGTACTAAAAGCTTTCCCACATTGCTTACATACATAGGGCCTCTCCCCACTGTGAATTCTTTCATGTATATTACAATACTTGTGTGTAATAAAAGCTTACCCACACTGCTTACATACATATGGTTTCTCCCCGAGTTCTCTCATGTATATTACATTGAATGTAATGAAAGCTTTCCCACATTGCTTACACATATAGCTTTATTCCCGAGTGTGAATTATTTCATGTTTTTCACAAGATTTGCGCATGGTAAAAGCTTTTCCACATTGCATACATAGGTTTTGTCCCCATTATGAATTCTTTGATGTCCTTGACAAGAACCTTGTGTACTAAAAGCTTTCCCACATTGCTTACATACATAGGGTTTCTCTCCACTGTGAGTTCTTTCATGTCTTTGACAAAAACCTTGTGAAGTAAAAGTTTTCCCACACTGCTTACATACAAAGCGTTTCTCCCCACTGTGGGCTCGTTCATGTATTTTGCAATACGCTTGTGTAGTGAAAGCTTTCCCACATTGCTTACACACATAAGGTTTTTCCCCACTGTGAGATTTTTCATGAACATAACAATAATACTGTGTGCTAAAAGCTTTCCCACACTGCTTACATACATAGGACTTCTCCCCAGTGTGAGTTTTTTCATGAATGCGACAGTAATTTTGAGTAGTAAAAGCTTTCCCACATTGCTTACATACATAGCTTTTTTCCCAAGTGTGAATTGTTTCATGTTTTTTACAATATTTGCGCATGGTAAATGCTTTTCCACATTGCTTACATACATAGGGTTTGTCCCCAGTATGAATTCTTTCATGTCCTTGACAAGAACTTTGTGTACTAAAAGTTTTCCCACATTCCTTACATACATAGCGTTTCTCTCCACTGTGAATTATTTCATGTCTTTTACGGTGACTGTACCTTCTGAAAGCTTTCCCACATTGTTTACATGGATAGGGTTTCTCTCCAGTATGAATCCTTTCATGTATTTTACAATCACTATGCCTCCTGAAAGCTTTTCCGCATTGCTTACATAGATAGCGTTTCTCCCTACTGTGAGTTCTTTCATGTCTTTGACAAAAACCTTGTGAAGTAAAAGTTTTCCCACACTGCTTACATACAAAGCGTTTCTCCCTACTGTGGGCTCGTTCGTGTATTTTGCAATACGCTTGTGTAGTGAAAGCTTTCCCACACTGTTTACACACATAGGGTTTTTCCCCACTGTGAGATTTTTCATGAACATAACAATAATACTGTGTGCTAAAAGCTTTCCCACACTGCTTACATACATAGGACTTCTCCTCAGTGTGAGTTTTTTCATGAATGCGACAGTAATTTTGAGTAGTAAAAGCTTTCCCACATTGCTTACATACATAGGGCCTCTCCTCACTGTGAATTCTTTCATGTACATCACAACACTTTTGTGTGATAAAAGCTTTCCCACACTGCTTACATACATAGCTTTTTTCCCGAGTGTGAATTGTTTCATGTTTTTCACAAGATTTTCTCACAGTAAAAGCTTTTCCACATTGCTTACATACATAGGGTTTGTCCCCAGTATGAATTCTTTCATGTCCTTGACAAGAACTTTGTGTACTAAAGGTTTTCCCACATTCCTTACATACATAGCATTTCTCTCCACTGTGAATTCTTTCATGTCTTTTACGGTGACTATGCCTTCTGAAAGCTTTCCCACATTGTTTACATAGATAGGGTTTCTCTCCAGTATGAATCCTTTCATGTATTTTACAATCACTATGCCTCCTGAAAGCTTTCCCGCATTGCTTACATAGATAGCGTTTCTCCCCACTGTGAGTTCTTTCATGTCTTTGACAAAATCTTTGTGAAGTAAAAGTTTTCCCACACTGCTTACATACAAAGCGTTTCTCCCCACTGTGGGCTCGTTCATGTATTTTGCAATACGCTTGTGTAGTGA